GCCTGTAATTCTTCCTTCTCTTTTTCTTGAAAATAATTACTTTTGCATCTAATGCCTGGCAGAGAACAAATAATTATTATAAATGACAATCCAATTGTTTATTCTTTCCTGTAATTTGAAAATTCAATACCACCCCACTATATGTTAGAAATCCACCACATCACTTAGCACAAAACAGAGTTTGCGAAATTTAGTTCTTTCTAAGAAGAGCATGTCATGTGATAATTTTCACTTTCCACCTCCCCACGCCCCCATTCCCCTCCCCCTCCCCCTCCCCCTCCCCCCAAAAAAGGGGTTATATTACTTTCAGGACATGTGATAAAACTTTAGCATTGTTAACATGGCCAAACCATAAGACAGCTGAGACAGATGGGAGCCACATGAAGATAGAGAAATCAGGTGAGAACTTACATGCTCCTCAACAACTGCATGGACAGCTGCTTCTGGCACTGCAGGCCTACCAACAATTGTTTGAGTAGCTGAGCCAAGTAAGAGAACCTTATTCAAAATCAACTGCAAAAAGAAGCAATCGAAGCTAATTCAGAAGTCAGAGACAAATGAGAAGAAGATAGGAAGCTTTGCTCTGGGGTTGCACACAACTCAAACTGAAAAATTCACAAGTGCCTCTTTTATCAAGAAGATGCTATCAAAACAGCTCCAGATTTCCCATAAATAGTTAAAACTTCGATGGGGGCTGAAAATACATGTGCATTTTCATACAAATCTAAAAAGCTATTGAATTTAACTTAAGCTGCTAAGGACAATGCAAGGTGAAACCAAATTCCAATCACCATATCTAATAAATGAGCAATGTCCAATACGAAGCTTCACATGACAGTACCAAACAAGGAGAAAAAAAAAAAAAGAAAAAAAAGAAAAAAAACAGAGATTGCAACCTCAAATTTGCCTAATTCAAATACCATTAATGCTTACCTTGTCATTTACTTCGCAAAATTTCAATCTTTCCGTGAAAATACAATCCCCATTGCTTACTTTAAACTGATGCGATCCAATCTACATAAAAACAAAAACCCCATAAACCCACATTTTCAGCACATTTGCTTCTGGACTCGAAAACATCGATCAAACCCACAGATAAAAACCTGAACCACTGCGAAAACTGGCTCGTACGGTTTGAAGACCCGCTCGGATCGCTGAAGCCCACCCAACACTTTGTACCCGATAGCAGCTGTCTCTGCTTCCTTCTCCTCCAGCGAGTACTTCCTCGTCGACTCCGCCATTGCATCTCCCTCTCCATCACTGCTCCCTTCCATTTCGGCTTCATCCTCGTCTTCGCTTCCATCGTCTTTGCTCGAAGAGAAGTAGCGAGATTGGCGCCAGATAGTGCACCGGGAAGGATCCAAACTGGGAATGATTTTTGAAGGCTGGGGATTTGAAGTTAGGAGTTTGACAACGGAAAGAGAAGGTGACGATTTGAGGGAGATTAATGCAGTTGCACGACGGCATAATAACTGGATATCCCGTCGGTGAGCCATGCGGTGGCAGAAGTGCACATCCGTAGCGTTCAGCCATTTTCCTGCAAATATTTCCGTTCCTCTTCAATGTGTTTCGGCCCATTTTCTGTTATGCTTTTGGGCCCATTTTCTGACTTGTGTTTTTCGGCCCAAATATGTTAAGGTGTAAGTGCTTTGTTGACTGTATTTTTTATGGCCATTGATGGAGTAGCCTAGCTTCTGATATGGGAGGTATTTCTTCATCAATGTTTAAGAAAATATGGTCCGCACATGAAAGATTACATTTTGGCATTCTCTAAGGATCCACAACAGTCATTTCACACTTTGATCCATCATCAAAGACAATAGAGAGGCAGTCAACTACTTTCTCCA